AACGCCAGTCGCCTGGAAAACGATGCTTCTTGTTCCTACTTGCCTTAGGTCTCAGTAGCACTTGGCGAAATTGCGAGTATGACGACAAAAGAGGTTACGATCAAAGCAGCCGCAACAATTGCTACCAGAGCAACACTTCCACGGCTCGCTGGAAATTTGCCCCTGATGATCCAGTACTGACTCTCAAAATAGCGGTGGAACCCAATCAGAAGGATCATCAGGGCGATTCCAATGAACGTCGTTCCGAGAGGTTTGCCGATATTCCGCAGTCGTTGTGATTCAGACGTGATCTTTATTGTTGCAGGATCATAGAAAGGGGGTGAAAGGAGTGAAGGGAACTGTTGAGAGGATACGTCGGAAGACGGTGCGTGGGTCGCGTTCAGGCGGAAGAGCTGGGTCACTGCGATGCCAATGGAAGCAAAAGCTAGCGAGGTTCTCAACCAGGCCAAGAACGTGCGTTCTAGCAGCGACAGACGTTAACGAATGCTACAGATTCAGGATGGAAAGAGGAGAAAAAGGAAAACCGAGACGTGGAGGCACACCTAATGCAAGATGATCTCGAGCGACGCTTCCCTTATTTTCGAGTTCTACACTGCCATATCTCTCCGCCAGTCGAGTATACCACGCGATATGTGAATCGTCCAAACCCGACTGATCGTTTGATGCATCGGTGTTCCCTCCATTTCGTTGTGCTGAATTCTTTGCATTACCGTTGCCAGATCCGGAATCTCGGTTTCTCAGGCCATCGGTCGAACCGGATTGCTGCTGTGCGGAGTGTCCATTACTTACAGCTCGATCAGCACCATTACTTGCCTGTGACAGGGCTGATGGCGACATGCGTGCTGAACTCGAGGTTTTGGATGGAGAGGATGAAGAGCGATGCGTTCTAGTGGCCTCTCTGGCGTGGGATTCAGTCAGATCCGAGTGGTCCATGATGGCGTGCTCGCCAAAATGCAGGACTAACAGTAGGCCAATTCAGTATTTGCTTATTTGAAAGGGCACACCATCAGCTGCCAGATGTAGATATATCGACCGTTAATTCTCCAGATTGTCCTCCAGGTTTCACATCGACCATGGCCAGAGGTGCTGAGAAGACGATAGAATTGGTTAATATCCTGCCGTGATTTCTTGCCTCTTTCGCATATATACAGCAGACTTTAGCTATCCTTCCATCTGCTTCCTTCAGCTTGTCTTTACGCAAACAGGATCTCCTTAGCCATTAGCGGCTAGTCTATTGGTTGATCACATGGTGACTGAAGATGACGCTAGCCTGCTTATGGCAATGCTGTCACAATCCTTTTCTAGCAGGCGGTGTGTTGATACGCCCCATCTGCCGGCGAAAGCGCCCATGACACCACTTTATTTCGTTGTCAGCTCAGTAGTATTGTTACTTTAGAGTCAAGTGATACATTTCGAGGTCACTTGCCAGCATCCGACAGAACCAGATTGTTCTTGATGCGAACTTCTACATGATGGCATCTCATGCGACTATGTCGTCTCCGCCAGCAGGACCCAAGCTTGATTTGTCCAAGAAGTTATCCGAGCTGCGAGCTAGTCGCAAGTCTCACTCTGGCCCCTCGTCCAGAGAGCCCGCCCCGGTGACACCTCCGCTCCCTAGCCCACCCGATCTATCGACTCATACCTATACACGGCCTGTTCGGCGTATTCTATCGCGGAAAGATCACGAGACCTTTCTTGCATCGTCGACCTACACTCTCGTCGTCGCCTTCATTTTCGGCCTCTCTGATTCAGTAAGAGGACGTGCGGTTACAGATAACAAAGACCAACCTGCCTCCCCAAACATCTCCAGAATTCTATCCGTGATAGATAATATTAGACAACTCGTTGACAAGCACCCTTCCATTGACCAAGGCGGTTCAAGGTTCGGTAACCCGGCTTTCCGCGATCTCTTCGATGATGTGGCTGCGCAGAATGCGACATGGCATAGAGACATCATCGGCCTACAGAATGCGGACGCCATAGAGGAGGTATCATCATATTTGGTCCACTCCCTGGGATCGCGGGATCGGTTGGACTATGGTTCAGGACATGAGTTGAACTTTATGATGTGGCTATTGTGCCTTCGACAGATGCAGATGATATCGACAGCAGACTTTCCAATGATCGTTTTCAGAGTTTACCTCGAGTATATGCATCTCATGCGGCAAGTACAAATGACTTATTACCTGGAGCCTGCTGGCTCACATGGTGTCTGGGGTCTGGATGACTACCATTTTCTGCCCTTCCTCTTCGGTGCCGCCCAGCTTGTGGATCATCCGTACATCACACCGTTAGCGATCCACAACACAGCAGTATTAGACGAAGAAGGAGACAGATATATCTACCTGGATCAAGTGCGATGGGTAGACAGCGTGAAGACGGTCAAAGGTCTCCGGTGGCACAGTCCCATGCTGGATGATATCTCCGGTGCCAAAAACTGGCTGAAGATTGAAGGAGGCATGAAGAAAATGTTCATCAAGGAGGTCCTGGGCAAGTTACCCATCATGCAGCATTTTCTATTCGGCAGTCTGCTGCCCGCTGACCCAAGTATGGGAGAGCGCTCGGATGATGCGGAGGAGGACGACCTCCACGACCATGGAGATGGTAATCCTCACGCCCGTCACACTGATCATTTCGGAGATTGCTGCGGTATCAAAGTGCCGAGTACAGTTGCCGCTGGAGCCGAAATGAGGAAACGAATTGGCGGAACAGGTCTACGACCGATTCCATTTGATTAGCATCTATCTTGATGACGAATGACTACACCTACATTAGATCTATCAATGAAGCGAGCAATTAAATGCTATTTTCACCTGTTCACCCAAGGAGTAGTACAGGCTATTCCCGGCGTTTTGAGAAATCCATCACGGAATCGATTGAGCAAGAGAAGTCACCATTCCTCTCCCATGCAAGTTCATTCAATCTCGCTCCCTGGAAGTACCAGCGACCTCCCAACACCCAACCAAGAACACCGACGCCAGATCGCCATAAAACCATTTTACCCATCCATAGACAATGCAGCCAAATCGTTCGTCAACTTGGTAACATAATTATCCGCCCTCTTATCATTATCCCTCTGAAGAATCCGCTCAAGCGACATCTTCGCATCCTGCAGCCGCCGCTCGAGGACCGTCCCAGCGGCCTTGAGCACCTCCGCGGTCTTGTTATCAGCCACAATTACTTCCATCAGCATCCCCTTGTTGGGCGCTGCGCCTCGAGATGGCCACAGAGTTGTTTTCTTGTGGCGCAGCTCCTGGACGGCCGTGCGAAGGATTTCGCTTTGGGTCAGTGGGTCGCCGTGTAGGGGGAAGTGGACGTACCAGGTGTATCCTGTGGACTCTTCGCCGCGGAGGTGTTGGATGAGTTCGAGGAGGCCCATTTTGCTTGTTTCCTCGCTCGTTTCGGTATAGTTGGGTTTCAATGGTTTTGTAGAGGGCTGATGAGATGTAATGTATTGCTGATGCTATGACTGATGGTGGTGATGCATTCAAGGCGCTATTTATATACAGTAAATGAGACATCTAGATGGAAATTAAAAGTGCAGTATCAGACATGCAAGAAAGATGACTGCATAGTTTGAGACCACACAAGGCTTGCATGCATTGTCGAATCTGCAAGACGAGTCTGGGCCTTCAAGACAATACCTTTATGTATTCCTTTGTAGTTGCTCGCAGTTAAGGTCTTAGGACTAATAAAGCGCATATGGCAGTAATTGCGGCAAATTGCCTGTGCCTGTGTTTCCGAAAGTTGACGTCTCATTGGTATCTTCAAGATACTGCAAAGAAACAATATTTCTTATTCAGCCATCCCAGAACGCCAACGCACGAAACCCACACGAAGGATATTCCCCAAAGTCATTCGATCCTCTATCTAAGCTCTTTCTACTTCCCTGCTGCATCCTCCAGACTCAAACTAGCCAGGCACTTCTCCGCCAGCCTCGTCTGCGTCCTACTCTGCATCTCCATTCTATGAAACTCCAGATGCCGTTGAGCAATATGATACGCTGCACGGCGAACTGCCCCCGGGTCGGAAAATCGAGCCTGGACCTCAATCATGAACCCGGAAATGGTATTCTCTAGGTTACGCGAGGAATAGATCTCGCAGCGGCCGGCTTGGATGGCGCTGCAGATGGCGTCGAAGAGGACGACCTTGTCATGGGCGTAGCCGGAGGAGAGCGGCACATGGACGTACCACGTTGTGAGGGTGTCTGCTGTGCAGAGGTCGTCATCGCCGTCGGAGAAGAGGCGTTGCATGGTCGTCCGGGGGGAATATTCTAGAGATTTATGAATGGAAATCTTGGGGGCTTAAGTGGAATAGTTGAAGGATGATGGGACGGGAACATGATGCAGCAGAAACATCGTCCTTGAGCCTTTATAAGGAAATGAACTGAAGCCCAATAGAGACGGATCCTAAGATTTATGATCAAAGAGAGCATTGAGGTTAAAGAGAGACCGCTCAAGCTGGTAGAATACCAAAGGGCTCAAACGAGGCTGTCATTGTATCCTAGTATTCAGCATGGAACGGAGATACCTGGCTTTTGTGCAAAAGCAAAAACGCAATAACTAATGGATATCTCCTTGCTGTTGGGTTATCAAGCACAGCATCCTCCTAGGCTCTTAGACATGATCATCCTTTGTCCAGATCGTGTTGTCCTCCCCCAGACAAAGGGAGAACAAACGAACAAAGGAGGCACTCTTCCAGAAGCCGTCTTTGGCATCATGTCTTAAATTTGGAAACAGGAACAAATTTCTTTGGAACCTGTAGCTACCATTCCTTCCATCCATATCACTTCTAGAAGTAGAACAAGAAACACGCTAAACCAAATTAGTAAATAATCACCTGACCAGCGCCATCTACAACGCCTTAGAGCCTTACAACACCCCATCATCACAGAACCACGCCAAAGTAAAACATATTAACCATATAACTCCTGCCACCCAAACACATAAGTCACTGTCTTGGACGTCTGAATCCCCAACAAACCAGGAAGAAAATCCCAAATGGCCCCCAGCGACGAATACACAGCCGGCGGGGGCGGCAAACTCAAACTCAAAGGCTCCAAAGTCAGCGACGGCCGAGTAGAAAAGAAAAAGAAGAAGTCCAAGAAGAGCAAATCCGACAAGGAGGGTGAGGGTGGCTCCGCGCCGCCCGAAGCTAGACACCCTGATGAAGACGGGAGGAGCGAGGACCACCACCAGGACCACCACACATCTCCCGATGAGGGGGGTGCAACAGTAGGCAAGACAGAAGCGGAAAGGAAGTACGAAGAGGCGCGAAAGAAGAGGGTACGTATCTCAATCTCTCTACAGACTCTACCTACGCCTCTTTTGGCGGTGGAAAGGTGTACGAACAAGGGACAAAGCAACTGATATCGGAGTAGCTCTTGGAACGTCTAAAGCGGGAAGGAGTCAAGACTCACAAGGAGCGAGTGGAGGAGTTGAATAAGTACTTGAGCAGGTTGAGTGAGCATCATGATATGTATGTGTTTTCGTTTCTTATGCGCTTGTGAAAAGGCACGGACTGACATGTGCTGCTATAGGCCGAAGATCGGACCCGGTTAAATGGGGCTCTGGAGACTTTTTTTTTGTTATATATATGTACGCTTATTCAGTAGTCCATTGATTTTCGTTTCAAAGACTTCGTGAATTGACTCGAGATCTCATTTCTCAAGCTCTTGGACGTAGCATTTGCCAATCCTCTAACGTCGTTGAACATCATATGACACGAGATCAGGTTGAGCTCCCACTGGACCAAATGTCTGATGGCTGGCACGCTATGCGGCCTAAGCTACGAGGGTAGCTGCCTTAGTTGCCTCACTACAGCCCATCTACGACTCAAGGTCATTGGCGAGGTCCCCGAAACCGATGAGTTTGGTATCGACTGTACAACCAGTTATGTGCGACACCCAAGCGTATCCCCGCGACAGCAGGTCCGAGCGGTCTACATTACGCAGAAAACCAGGACTGTAACTGAGGAAGAAACGAGAAATCGAATCGTCTCAGTTGTAGATAGAACAGTAGTCTATGGATGGCTGAAAACGATGCCGTATCCACGCAACAAATCGAGATTGCAGATTGTAGTGAATCATCAAAACTCCAATGTATAAACGCCACGCGTATGAATGATAATGAGATGGGGCAAAAAACCATCAGAAATAAAACCCAAAGAGTATCTCCCAACCCAAAGTCCCAAAATAAGAGGATCTGCATTATGTGCAGCCGACAGGAACAAAAACGAAATCGTTGATGCTCAAACCGGCCAAGGTATCAAATCGAGTCACAACACCGCGCTAAACTCAACGGGCTTAATCGACTGCGACGTAGGATGAAGATGTAGATCGAAAGAATTGTCGAAGGCGGAATTGCTTGAGATGCGAAAACCCGTCCCAGGTTCTTATACGCCCTTGATGACTTGGGTACGCTCGCTGTTGAGCTTGTCGGCGTTTCGGGCGTGAGACTCCTTCTTGCAGTCCTCTAACCCCGTACAGGAGTGAGCCTCCAGCATTCTGTGTTTCGAGCAGTAGTGTCCATTGCAAAAGCTGCAGTCACCGACGATCCGCTGTGCGGCTTCCTTGCACTCCTTGAAGTTGCAGCGAGGCTTGCGAGGCGCCATGTTGTTAGAGAGTTGCGACAAGAGCTAGGTAAGGTGGTTGGAAGGATGAAGGAAGTCGAGGAAATATATATCGGCTCAGTTTGAGGAATGCAGCTAAGAAGGAATCGAGAAGAACCGTATGGACGGGTAGACGATGAGGTTGAGAGTAAAGGTGATTGATTGCGAGGTCGAGGGTAAGATAAGGAGGTTCGAGAGCAAGGTTCGGGAGAAGAGCAGACAGTTGAGGAGTCAAGTCGATAAGAAAAGAGATAAGAAGGAGGAAGTAACTGCTGCCAGCGGCTCGGCTATATATATTGTCTTTCAAAGAGGATCGGAAAGCAGACCGATGATCGGAAGGCACGGGAGTGGAACAATAGGTGGTGTCTAATGAAAGGATGGAGGTTGAGTTTGGCTGGAAATTGAGGTGGCAGTGAGGCAAAAAAAAGAAAAGTCAATTTGTACGAACGGATACAGAGACAGGAGGCGACGGGGAAGGGATTGCCTTAATAATTCACTAAAGAATGGATGGAGCCAGATGATGCTACGGATGAATAATATTAGTTAACATGGGAAGAACTGAGGAGAAACTGGAAGAGAGGGATGAATGCTGAGTCACAATACCCAGCCAGATAACTAGATAGGCTAGATTGCTTCATTTGGAGACATCTACGTAGGAGGTTGTATCATAGTAGCAACTAGTAATTATTCATGATACTGATAGTACAGAATAGTACACTAGTGCCGCCGCTGATCCAAAAGGGCTCCATTTTTCACTCTACTTTCGTACATATCGAGTTACTCTCTTACTACTACTGATCTAGTGTAAGTACTTATAGCTACCTGGTGGAGGCAAAATCGGGGGTGGAGACTGAGGCCTCTGAAAAGTTACTGTACAGAGTTTCCAAGTCCAAGTATTCACTTGCACGGGCACGAGGTCGGTTTGCCTTCGGTACCACATCTTGCGATCATCTGCGGCATCATCGGAGGCACCCTCTCGAAGTTGCAAAAGAGAGTCGACTACTTTCGATAGAGTTGGCGATATTAGTGTTGTAGTATCTCCGTAGACGAGGCGATACTCCGAGGCCAGTGGCTCTTCATTACGCAGTACTCCGTAGTATCCATTGAACAATCGCCAGGTCCGGAGTATCAAGAGACTAAGAAGGCTTTCAAACACTAGACTAATAGTACAAGAAAAGGGGAAAGGATCCAAAAGGCCAGTTCATCTTTACAGGATGTCGACTGAATGACCAAGTCACTTTCCCCTTTCCGCTGGGCGAGGTGACGACTCCTGCGGAGTACCTTATGACCCTTATGACCCCTATGAACGCACCGACCCATTTTGAATTCCAACTACGCATATTTAATTGAATAGCGCCTGCTGCTGGAAGGCATGCAAATTATCTCACAAGTCAGATAATATAAGGCAGATTCTGCCTATGATCATCACTTCAAAACCGCCCGTAACAATGCAGGGCAACCACTGGAGCCTTGACGGAGCATGCTGAGTCCACCTGATCTGGGTCGCTACCGGTTTAATACAAGCCGTGCAAATATCAGCTATTATTTACTATACTAGGTGTGTTTCAACGCACGGTATCAATGTCTCTCGATTAAAGATTAATCAACTGATTCAAGTGACCGGCCGAACCGATGGCGCTCTTCATCTTGGATCTTCTCCGTACTAGTTGGCCTTCTCCGCACCGAGAAATGAGTCACGTGAAGTGAATGACCTAGCACTCAGCAACTCCAATGACCAAAAAGAGCATCAAATCAATGTCTTTCTGAAAATGGAAATTAGTCTGTATAACAAGGCCAGCAATTGTCTGTATGTCGATAAAATCCAGCATGAAAACGGGCATTGTCGGAATCGCGTGCAGATTGCTTGCGGTTGGCGCAACTCGATGAAACTGCAACGGTGCGGAGTAAAAGCCACTAGCTATCTATCTAGCTATCTTCAGGAAAGGTAGCTACTTACCTCGGGAAGACGAAGACAACCAATAACGCAAGTATCCTTGGTCCTCGCAACAATTAACCTCATTTCCTTCGAAGATGAGCAACACATGATAAGCTGGGACGGGGGTTAACTAACTAACTAGTCATTTTACCAGCTTAAGTAAGTCGGTTGAAAACGCCACTAACTGCACTATTGTAGCTACCCACATTTGGCCTGCAGAGATAGCACAATATGTTTTTGAGTTGGCAGATGTGCGTGGTTCCATTAAGTTAGCCGATTTGGATCCGTATGATAAGGACAGAAAGCGCTAGGTTACCTCGTTGGCATATCTACCTTAGCGTCCACAAGGTAGACAGATAGGTACCACTGTCGGTATGGAGTACTATCAGGTACCTCGTAGCCCTAGCACTTGTTGACAGCTCACGACAATTCTGAAACACAGCAAAAGAATGAAATATGTGAAGAAAATTAACTCAAGCCATTTTCTTTTGGCAGAACCATCCATCTCCTCCAGTATTTCAGACACCCACAACCACAGCGGGGCGCCAGCAGACTTGTCACGTCAGGATGGCATTGAAGGTTAGCATTCGCCTCAGGCCATGACAGGCTTTTTTTTTGTCTATATGTTGCAGATATCATATCGTGTCAAAGAGTATGCAACCGCGCTCTCTTTTGATACTCGCCTACACGCCACCTGTTCCGCCTGTATCTGGTTCATGCAATATGTGCTTCTGTATAGTTGATCGATTCTACCATCGTCAAGTACTTAGTGCATGTGGAAGATGGATGATGCACGTACTCCGTGATCCATGCGTTGTCAATCACAGTTGACGACGTTGGGCTCATACACTATCTACCTGCAGCACCAACGCCTCGCAGCGGTAAGGCTTACGACTGTATCATGGCAGGATCGCCAAATGTCCGTGCTCTGATAAGAGCATGCACGCTTCTACTACCTCCGTATGTAGCTCAAACTCTCAGTAAGTGGTTTCCGGCGCCTGAAATGCTGGACATCCGATGTCGCATTATTCATCTCTATCTCCTCCTATAAGGTCTTGCCTGAAACCTTTTCCTTGGAGCAACGCCCATGATCACGCGTAGGAGGATTAGCAAGGATATAGCAAAGTAAAACTAACGGTAAACGCCGCTTGCCAAAGTTTAACCCATCAGAAAAAGCCATAGCAACAGCGCAAAGGAAATCAAGGAGCAAACGCCGATTCGCAGAATTTAGCCATCCACTACGCAGTGGTCGTGATCACACCCCCATCTCCTTCTCTTTTCCCGCATCTGGGTCCAGATAGTCTTCTCTTTCTGCTGCCTCATATTCACCAACGAGGTCCATCACCACAGCCCGCGCTTCGTCAAATTCGCCGAGACCGTCCGTAAAAGGGCTTTCCTTCTTGTACTGTTCCAAAAATGCGTTTCGTTTCCGCAGGCGGTCGTACTGTTGGACAATTCGTTTGAAGAGAGTCGCCACTGACGTGTGATTCGCCAGCATCAGGCCGCTAACGCGGTGCGTGTTTTGTATGTATGGAGATTTCTTGGTCAAGGCTACTTGGATACTGGCCGGACCCCAAGGAATGAATGATGCCAAGCGTCGCTCGCGGATACGCAGCAAAGATTTGTGCACATCTGTGGGATCTGCTTCACCCTGGATGATGTTGAGAATACTCATGTAGCAACTGGACTTGCTGGGGTTGATTGAGACCATGCGGTTCTTCGGCTGTAGCAGGCGGCGCATAACGTCTAGAACGGTGGTTTTGCGAACTGTCTTTGCTTGGTCGACATTGTCACCGGTAAAGGGCGTGTATGATGTGATCAGGAAATGGCTGCGAGGTGTAGGGATGAGAGAGGCGATGATTCCGACAAGATCATTGTGCATGTAACCGGGGTAACGGAGGGTGGTGGTAGAGGCTGACATGACGGTGGACACCTATTGAGAGTGAGCTTTGCTTGTATGCGGTTTACTTGCATTGAGGAAGACTCACAAGCTGATTCGTCTGCTGGAACGAAGGCTCTTGCACATGAAGTCTATCTGCAACAATCCTCGAAAGTGCACCATTATCGAGAACAACCTGACAGCAACTTAGTCCTGTCAATTTGGTGGTCCCATAGATGGAAACTTACCACAGAGTCAGCATTCTGTGTCAGCCTCCTCATGGCTAGCAGACTGTTGTACGGATTGACCACGACGTCCGCCGACTGGGTATCTGGGAAAACGGAGTATGTCTGAATCAACTTCTTCGGAAACCTGTCATTCATCCGCTCGAGGATGAAGCTACCAAGTCCCGAGCCGGTTCCTCCTGCAATCGAATGCAGGAACATGAAGCCCTGTTACGACATACCAGATTAGCCCAGCAATACTCTTATGCGATCGCCCAAAATGTCCAATCCTTTTCCGACTAAGTGTCTCACCTCTAAAGAATCACTACCGTCCGCTTCTCGGTCAATCATGTCGAAGACCTCCTCCTGTACGACTTCGCCGGCGGCGTAGCCGGCACCCCAATTGTTTCCAGCACCAATGCCTTGCTGACCGATGAAGAAGTTCTCGGGATTGTAGATGTTCTTGTAGGGCCCACTTTGTATTGAGTTCAAAACCTGTCCATGCAAACTCAGCTCAGATTCAGGAGACATATAAATCGCAGCGCATTGGTAGAGGGTGAATCGTACTCTTGGTTCTAAGTCCAGAAGGATCGCTCGGGGGATATATCTGGTATCATCGCTCTGATTTCACCAAAGTCAGCTCACTCAATCCGAGCATCACATTCCCAGATTCACCACGGCACAAAAGCTCTTACCTGGTAGAAGAAGACATCCTTGCGATCCCCGCCTTCTGTCGCAAACTCCTCCAAGTTCCCATCCTGGCTAATCCCGTGCTCAAGGCAAAGCTGTTGCCAGAATTGACTGCCGACTGTCAAAAACCCAGTTAGTGGGACCGTGGCATCACAAGAGTGTCATGTTTGATGAGGTTGCGGACGGCTGGTTTGCGTCGCTTGAGATTCATACCATTGTTGCCGCACTGGCCGGCTTGAATCGTAATTATTTCTCTGAAAACAACTTGAGTATTAGCTGACTTTATCTCACACGAGGATCAGATAGAAATAATTGGGCAGATCGTGGCACATACCTGGGCATCGTTTTTCGTGACCACCAGAAAGTAGTCGAGGTTATAGCCCACGCGTAGCGCGTTTTCGCGGGGAATCTTATTTCGGAGGTGGTGGGCCTCGGGTACACAACGTTAGGTAGCTGTCAGTGCTGTCTGAACCTTTCCAAAGCAATGGAATCATAGAACCGATATTGTAAATTCAATTGATTTGAACTGAACCATTAACTGGCACCATGTATATGAATGTTTAAGTTTCATACTCTATCCTGCTTTTTTGATGTCAATGTGCACGCCGCTTCCCACTCCACGCCCTGGGTTTGAAGTAACAATCTACGTCTCAAATCTGAACCATGAGAAATCACTGAGCATCGTGCAGCTGACCGTTGCACGCCATGGAGTTGTATTTGCTGCATGCGTTATATGTGCCAGGGAAAGACGAAGTACGCCATGCTCAAGTGTCTCAGAATCCCGCCTTACAAGCCGTCACAAGCATGCCTGCCCCGGCGACTACGCCATCCACTATCCTCACTCGTCGGCCTTGTCGTTCACCATATGCCCTGATACAGCCATCTCGCACCGCTTCCTCCATGCCTGCCATCCCTGCACACCCCATACAAATGGCACTTACAGGATGCGGCGTGCTCTTGAGGAGCCTCTCTGTCGCATCGCTGATCCTTCTCCTCACCTTTTCGGCAGGAGTAGTATGTAATTCACCGGCTGTCAATCCAGTGGTCTCCACACCGGCAAAGCGAGCAGTAGAGCCGCCGCTGTCGCCAGAATCCACGATCATCTCTGTGACCGCTCTTGTCAGTTCATCTCTCCAGATGCTCCCAGTCGTAACTATGCCGAATGTGTCCTTCGCTTGGGCTTTATGAAAGTTTGCGTCTCCCATCAGATGGAAAGAGCTAACGAGGGAGAGAGAGGTCAAGACACTAGCTTCGAATATGCCTGTCACATATTTCTTTCGGTACTCCGGTATTGCGGAGTCTTTTCTGGAAGACGTCTGCTCATATTCTGTGATCGCCTCTTTCAGCATGCCGACTAAAGGATGAGCGGAATAACATGCCACAAGAAATGCATCATATCTTGGAACAAGCGGTTCGACAAAGGGCCTGCAATGCAAGGCTGATGTGATAGAATCCTCTCCCGAGTTGATGCTGGGCACTCCGTTGATAATGCGCCCATCCGGGAGTGTGACAGACTCACTGGAAGGCGCCGTGAAGTAATCGAAGTGGATATCTGCATAATCCAAGCTCTCTAGGATGGGTTTGAGTGCGTTCGTCATGTGGGTTGATGTGTTTGGGTTGATGATTAGGACCGAGAATCGATGGTTGTCGTTCGGTGCAGCCATCTTGGAGCAGCTTATTGCTATGAATTAACCTGGAATGTGACGCTGACACACTCAGAGCCGATGTTCGTTGCTATATATGCGATTATGCTGTATAACTGGGAATTGGATGTTCCGACCGGATGACGTTCCCAGGTGTCCGCAGCAATGTGCCTGGTTGTCCTCCCCACCAGGAGACACTAGGCCATGCTGAGAATCGAAGACTTCATCGAAGATCAAGAAGTTTCCAAAAGGCGGCTTTAAGCCCATTTAAGCTTAATCGACTCCGTGCAGTCATGCTTGTATTCTCGACTACAATGTCTGACTCTGCCCACTCTATGATGAAATCAAATGAGCAGATCTCGAGTGCGGGGTAAGGGAACACGAGCGTATCCAATCCATCTCAAGGCGGAGAGGTGTTTCAGGCCTCGTATTCGCATCATACCCCCTTCTTTAGCGGGCTACTGTGCGTGTCGTTATCTTGCGTATGGTCGTGAGATTGCTGTATTATTAATTTAAGAATGTCAGTCCTGAATACAAATAGCGACAATGACCCCGAACCTCGTCATCGCAGCGGAAAGTAGACCTGACCTCACTGTTCCATCAGATTCCACCTTCGGTCTTTGAAGATCACCACGACCACACTCACACTTGAATTTCATAATGCCTTTGGTTGTGCCATCCGCTACGCCGAGAGTCATTCTCGGCTTGATGACCTTTGGGCCAGATGAGTCCGAAGGTGCTCGCATCACGTCCCTCGACGACTTTAACAAGTGCTTGGATCATCTCCAGCAGCAAGGTTACAACGAGGTTGATACTGCGCGAGTCTACGTGGGAGGAAAACAAGAGGCTTTCACAGCCCAAGCCAGGTGGAAGGAACGTGGGCTGACTCTAGCCACGAAATGGTACCCCCATACCTTCGGTGCACACAAACCCGACGTTCTTCGTGAGAACCTCGAGCGTTCTTTGAAGGAACTGCAAACTGACCAAGTGGACATCTTCTACCTGCACGCCGCGGATCGATCAGTGCCTTTTGCTGAGACTCTCGAAGCCGTCAATGAGCTCCACAAAGAGGGAAAGTTCGTGCAATTGGGCTTGAGCAATTATACTGCTTTTGAAGTTGCGGAGATAGTTATACTCTGCAACGAGAGAGGTTGGGTTCGACCCACAATCTACCAGGCAATGTATAATGCTATCAGTAAGTATCCTCTTACTGTGACCTAGAATGTCTGCTATAGGGTCCGTTCGAATTGTATTTACTGACGCCGATAAACACAGCGCGCAACATCGAAACGGAGCTCATCCCCGCCTGCAAGCGCTACGGAATTGACATCGTGGTCTATAATCCGCTGGCTGGTGGCCTGTTCTCTGGCAAATACAAGACTAAGGACATTCCTGCGGAAGGAAGATATAGTGATCAGTCGTCAGATGGAACCTTGTACCGGGGACGTTATTTCAAGGACGCGACATTCGACGCTCTGCGACTGATCGAGCCTGTTGCCGAAAAGCATGGCCTAACCATGCCTGAGATTGCGTTTCGCTGGATCCGTCACCACTCCGCGCTCAACATAAAGGATAACGGCCGCGATGGTGTCATTATTGGCGTGAGCAGCCTCGCGCAGTTGGAAAACAACCTCAAGAATATCCAGAAGGGCCCCTTGCCTCAGGAAGTTGTCGACACATTGGACCAAGCCTGGTTGATTGCGAAGCCGACTGCTCCAAACTACTGGCATCTCGACTTGAAATACACCTATGATACCCAAGCCGCCTTGTTCAAGCCTGAACCCAAGGCGTAGCTCAACCACCCACCGTATCTGGATTATACATTGCCCTTGTTCAGTAGATATTCGCAATTCACTCATACAAGCTTTCTTCGCGATTTTGTTCGTGCAGAATCATCCTGCGTCCTCCTGATTCTTCCATGTGGCAATCTGAAACACTTTCCATGTACTTAAGCCGTCCGCCGAGATTGGACCGAGCAAAGTCCTTCGGATCACGGGTAAGTTTCCGGCGTCATCAGTTCCACTCGCTTTGCTCAGAGCAAAGAAGGAAAGTTGAGTCCAAGACAAAGAATTGAGGAAAGATACCAAACGTGTGAATACGACATGGAGTCTCAATTTCTAATGTTACGGCTCAGCTATTCATTTCTCCAGTCCTGGGTAGGCAGTCCCGGATCCCGATGTCGTCATATGTCGGCGTCGGAATTTCGGGCGGCTGTGGATCTCCCGTTTTTTGGCCCTGCAAAATTCGGTAACAAGCCCCATCTTCTAGTCTGAGATTGGATTCTAGAATGCTGATTGATAACAGTGTGGCCTAGTTGCCTTTGGAATGGTAGACGTGCCAAGCAAACAGAGGATGAATTTTCGCGAAAACCGCTGCCGCTCACTGGGGCTTGTCTCCTATGAGAACTTTGGTTGAAGACTTGATTGCAGTATGTCTCTGCTGTAAGGGACATGCGTGGGTTGACAATGAGCACGACCACCAAGTCTTGTCGAACCTCACTGCCGAGTCTCTTGAGTAGCAGCCGGCCTAGCAAAGGAGGGGGCCGAGACGCAGGCGCAGCAGAGGCCTCACCGGATACACTTCCTTGCCGCTCCTCTCTTGATGAGTATCGACTTCCAGAGCACGACAGTGGCTGGAGACGAATCGTGTATAGTTTCACACCATCGTACGTCTCCAATTTCTTCAAAGCCGGCTTCCCTCAGAGGGTCTGGCTAACCATGAGGTCCCTGGAAGCTACTAACACTCGTATCAGATGGTTTTCAGTCGTTATGGGGACTGGGATGATTTCCACCGCCCTAAATACTCTTCCTTATAATGGTCGCTGGCTATACTGGATCTCGATCGTCGTCTTTGTTCTTAATGTCGCTATCTTCGCAGTGTGCAGCATTCTGAGTGTGCTCCGCTACACTATGTACCCGGAGACCCTTAACACTATCATGAATGAACCTGCTCAGTCAATGTTCTTGAGTACGTTTCCCATGGGACTAGCGACAATTGTGAACATGATCTGCTTTGTGTGCGTCCCAGCGTGGGGAAATTGGACGAGAGATTTCGCTTGGGCCTTGTGGATGGTTGATGCTTGCCTTTCAGTCATCTCCGCACTATACCTGCCATTCTCACTGTAAGCTTGGCTATCTATGAGTGCGTGCTGCATTTGACTAAACAAAAGCAGAATGATTTCAAACGTCGATGGACAGCTGTCCTCAATGACTGCGATCTGGCTCTTGCCAATTGCAAGCTGCGTCGTGGCTTCAGGGACTGGTGCAGTCGTTGCAGACCTTCTTTTGAATCCTAATCATGCTTTATGGACGATTATTGTCAGCTATGTCCTATGGGGAGTTGGCATCTGCTTATCGATGATTGTCTATGTTATCTACTTCCAACGGCTTACTGTGCACAAATTGCCACATAAGGGGGTTATCATGAGCGTGTTCTTGCCGATGGGACCTTTGGGATCCGGAACCTTTGCGTAAGGCCCCAAGACGAGCTTCATCATGATCTACACCTAATCCGTCATATTTCAGGGCTGTGAAACTCGGTACAGCTGGAAAGACTGTTCTATCAAAGACTCAAACGTTGAATGATAGCTCTGCCGCCTCCATAGTTTATGTCGTAGGCGCAATGACCGCACTGATCCTCTGGGCTTTTGGTCTTCCTTGGCTTTTCTTTGCCTTCGCATCGGTGCTGAAGTCAGGAAGGGTTCCATTCAACATGGGTTGGTGGGCTTTCACCTTTCCAGTTGGTGCGTATGCGATGGGAACATGTCAGTTAGGGAGGCAGCTGCCTTCTGCTTTTTTCAGGGTCCTGGGAACAGTAAGTTTACATGAATGATTGATGTTGCAATTAAAGTCTAAGACTTATATCAGGTCCTCTCGTTGATAGTCGTGATCCACTGGATGGTCATCTCCGTCAGTACACTCAAGGGAGTCGTCTCTGGAAAAATATTTATTGCCCCCAGAGTCGCCAGCGTACAACGCCAGGGCAAAGAGGAGAATCATTCGGAAAGCATATCATAATCTCGATGTGGAATCCGCCCTGAATAACTGCATCCCGGCAGAGTCGAACTTGAAAGTGGAGCGGGAATACAGTCTCCATCCTACATGGAATGTGAGAGAGTCATGCGAGAGATTGTATGCAACCATTATCTATCTCTTGATATCAACTCTCTCTTTCGTGACACAGAAACCAAGATATGTTTATGCGTTCACAAGAACTTGGTTTGTAAAAAGACCAGATCTGGAATACGAACCCTATCAATGTGCTTCGTCCTTCCCTCATGACGAGGCAAAGGGAAAATGTGCGTCATGAGAGAGACACGAGCCTTGTTTCCAACATTATCGAGAGTGCTGGCCTTATTCACGCAGAGAAAGCTGCATCGTGTGTCGCTTTGCCGAACACCATGACCGACTCTAGCGTTGCATCTGGATTCCAAAGGTGAAAGAAGGTAGGATTCTAGCGCGCCATTTTCCATTCGATTCCGTGGACCTTTCGGGCTGTTGTAGCCAGACTGCATCATTCCTCACTAGGGCATTCTAGACAGCTCGCGGCAGGCTAGGAATTACCGAAAGGCACACCTCGCCACATATGTACAGTTGTGCATAGTACCCTTACATCAAGGTCTGGGCAGTTATGCAATTCGCATGGGATGAGAATTGAGAACGCCGCCGATACTCCTAGAGACTGGACACTTTTATCGCATACTGCAGATGTCATTTCCGGCATTCCAGACCTCCCCGGTTAGCCTCAAATTGATCAGAGTACTGCCTCAAATCGCGCATCCATCCCTTGCGTAGCCAAACTGCAGAAAACAAGCCATTAGACCTACAAAGGACAGGATGAGAAATTGAGCCGAAAAAATAATCGAACCCAACACCCGCAAACTCGACAGATCGTACGGAGTTCAGCTCATAGTAATCATAGGATTGACAAAGTGTTCTCATGAGTATTCCAATGGACATCACAGGCTTTCGCCTCAGACAACGGCAACAACCGATGCCGTTCCAGCTTTTGCGCCCCTTCGGACTTTTAGTGGACGTCTAGTAACTTGCTAATGATCCGGTCACACATCTTTATGCCGCGTTAATAAGAAGGATAGTAGTGACTTACCGGAGGTCTACTGTCCCCGCATCGGCGAGCGCCTGGACTCTGGATCAAGGGGCCACATGCCGCAGCTGCATGTGTTCAGAGAGCTTCTGTCGAAATCTGGAGACCGGATGGCTGCATCTCTGTCAAACCCCGAGCGAGGAGCAGCTCTAGTCGTGTGATGCTGTGGGACTCGAATCGAGAACGAGTCCATTGAGATTTGCTTTACAGCGCAAGCCCCTTGTTTGATACTAGAGTGATGAGCACCATTGCCTCTTATCATATGTGAGGACCTGACCTTATAATGGGCATCATGGCCTCCCTGGACTCCTGCTCAGAATACAGCCTCGGCATCCTTGACAACAGTCTTTTCTTCTCAGGCTTAGCAGGATGTCTCTTGTCATTGCTCGTTCGGCCAAGAAGGAGACTTCAGAGCCTATTTCGCCTACAGATTCCGATTTTGAGAAGACTCCAATCAGCGTAACACGAGTTCTATCGTGTACAGAAAAGTCAGATCTCGGCGACGTATCTGACAGACGTCGATTCTTCTTCCAGCGGTTTAAAGACGATAACCCGAATGCCATCGCTACCCAGCCGTCTGTCTTCGATGACCCGGAGTTAGCAGAAGAATACAGACCTCGACCAGATTGGGAAAACATTCATCGGTTCGATCCATCGGCTAGATGGTCATGGGGTGAAGAGAACGTGCGTTAACAATCATGAATAAGGATTACCTCACAACCTAGACTGACAGCGGTGTAGAAAATTGTTCGGAAGATCGATCTTCGTATTACCTTGTTGGCTTGTGTGATGCTTATGGCTCTGGAGCTTGATCGATCCAATATCCGTACGTGCTGTCTATCCAAATGTGCAATCTTAAGGTCACTGATCATGTATGAGCTCAGAACAAGCCAATGCGGACAACTTCTTAACCGATTTACACTTGACTCGGGACGGTCAGTCTGCGCAAGACATCAACTCCATCTTCGACAGGCTGACAGAGTTTCTATCACCTCAGACTATAACTTGGGAAACACGATTCACAGGCTATGCTACCTACTCGCCGAAGTACCTGCACAGGTCATGGCAAAATGGCTCGGCGCCGACAGATGGGTTCCTTTCCAGATGACATCATGGTCGATCATCGCTCTGTGCCAGTTCTGGCTCTCTGGCAGGACATCCTTTCTGTGCACAAGGGCTCTTCTAGGGTTGCTATCCGGGGGGTTCGTGCCAACGGTCAGTGGTTTTTGCAAACATGGTAAGCTTATTGAGCTCATGTATAACAGATGATCCTCTACCTTTCCTACTACTTCAAACATCACGAGCTTTCCATACGTCTCGGCTTCTGGTATACAGCAGCTTCTTTTGCGGACATCCTCGCTGGTTTTCTCGCTTTTGGGATTCTGCACCTGCGGGGAGTTGGTGGTCACGCCGGTTGGCGTTGGCTGTTCTTGATTGAGGTTTGTAGGAGGCCAAGTCCCGTTGTTTCGATGCTCATTATTTACACACGCAGGGGCTGCTCACATTGACGCTTGGTGTCCTGGCTTTCATCCTCATGCCACCGTCACCAACTCAGACGGCGAATTGGGCCCGAGGCAAGAAGGGATGGTTTACAGAGAGGTATATATTACTCCCATGGCACGCTAGGACATGCTAATAGTGGCTTGTGGATAGAGAGGAGGTTATCATGGTCAACCGTATCATACGAGAAGACCCCAGCAAGGGCACTATGCATAATCGCCAGCCGTTGACCCTCAAACTTATTTGGCAGAGTTTCAAAGACTACGATCTATGGCCCTTGTATATCATAGGACTTTTGTTCCTGATACCTAGTAGTGAGTACAGCACAAGATTCGACGAAATGTATCTTCCGCCGAAGTCAGCTAATGTCAACAGCAACAATATCGCAATACTTTACCTTGCTGCTAAAAGATTTTGGATTCAGCACTTTCAATACAATTCTGCTTTCCATTCCATGCAACGTACGCAATTTCGAGATCAGCCACCAATCTTTGCTGAATACTGACTTTCGACTAGGCGATGGGTGCTGTGACCCGAATAGCCCTTGTCTATGGAGCTGAGGCCTTCGAGTCCATTGCGTACATGGGCATTTTAGCCCAGCTGTGGATGTTGCCGATGCTCCTTTATATTAATGCGGTTAATTTCACCCAAACCAATAAATGGGTCGCATGGACAGTACTCACACTGATTCTTTCTTTTCCAAACCGTGAGCACCATGTCCCCTGAAATTTTCCGGGGAACTACTAACGACAATTCCTCCTCAGCCCATGCGCTTCACGCTGGGTGGAACTCTCGCAACTCGAACAGCGTGCGGACTCGGACAATCGCAGCTGCATTATATAACATGTCGGCGCAGACGTCTCAAATCATTGGCTCGAACATATACCATGACTGTGAGTGTGGCCAGATCCATCCATGAGGGCCCTTTGTTCCTTGGCTAATTAGGCATCCACTTTTGTCAAAATAGCGGATGCTCCTCGCTATGTTGTTGGAAACAGGACGCTACTCATCATCATCTGCACTAACATCGTCCTCTATGCCCTGACGAAACTATACTATGTGATGCAGAATCGCCGCCGGGATATGAAGTGGCAGGCAATGACAGAGGACCAGCGAGTTGACTACGTTGCGACAACACAGGACCAGGGGAATAGAAGACTGGACTTCAGATTTGCGCATTAACCAACAGCATACGTAATGATTCTTGGCCCGATACAGCAGTCTAGACCCATCATTAGCAATAGAATTGGAATTTGGTCGTCTAAGAATATAGATCAGGTTAAATGAACGCCTGATGCATAAGGCGCCAAGAGCCTAAGCCTGACCAGGTATGTGATAAGACTATCATCACGTGTTACAGTTAGGGTGGACGCCACGATCCCAAAACGGTAAAGAGAGTAGCCTGCAACGTAAGGCGCCTGCTGCGTTTGGATGCGACACTCACGAGACTTGATCAGCATTGCCAGCTATCTTCTCCTCTCGCCGTTCTCCAGACTTTAGATTTGTTTCACGTCCAGTGACTATTTTCTCTCCCTTGGTCCTGAGCAGCTGTCGGATCCGTGTTTCTTGGCCTGATCTGAGACATTCATTCGGTTTTATACTTGGCAAACGTGGCCGCAGCAAGTACTTCCCTGACTCCGAAAGCGCATTCTTTTAAGGCTGCATGTTCTCGCAATCTCAGAAACCATTCCGTCTTGGTGAAGGCTGAATTGCATATTCGCGACTCCCTGTCCGGGTTCCCCTGCATGGACAGTTCATTCTCTACCTCTTATTTATCCCTCCTAGCACCCATCGTTTCCAGCCGCTGCCGATTTCGATCTAGGGATTGGTAACCTCTCCCCTGTTTTCGCTTTGATTTCGCAGGAAGGAGGTAATTTATCTTCACGTCGAGTATTCGTCAACCCTGGGAAGGGCCGGCGAATTTGACCTACGGTGGCTTCGACACATACACAACCTGAGGAGGAAGGCTGGGAATTCGAGCCGGTCCTCGACTCCCGCAAATCAGATGACGAGATGTCGCCAAACCGTCCAACTCTACATCGTCCAGTAGACGGCCGCCCTCACCAGCCGTTGCTACAAGATGAACGTCGGCGATTGTCGAACACCGATTTTAGCCATGGCAATGCGGAGCACAGGCCGATGCTGCACCATTCCAGGCGGCCGACGATCAGGAGTCCCGAGTATTCTGCGGAGCTGGCGACTCGGCGGAAGTACATGATTGCGTCGGGGTTCTTGCTGTTGAGCCTGGCTAGTTTTGTGGTTCAGACTGAGACGGCAGTATATATCCAGCATGAGCTGCACTGGGACAAACCATATTGCATGCTGTAAGTTGAGTGGTTATGGGCAGTCGAACTTGATCTGACTGGAATCCTCTTTGCAGATATCTCACCCACGGGTCATGGTCCCTTCTCTGGCCGGTCCAACTCCTTATCTTGCGGATACAGAAGAGGAAGCTTTCCTGGGAAGCATTCTGGCGACGTCACGTTTATTTATTACGCACCACGGCGCAAATGGTTGAGTCAAGGGATCTTCATCTTACGTCGCGCGATTTGCACCGGTCACCGATTCCCTACATGCTCAGGACGACGGCTTTTGTGACTGTAGCCCTCACCATTGCCGGTGGATCATGGTATGTGGCAGTCAATCTTACGACGGCGAGTGACCTGACCGCAATCTACAACTGCTCCGCGTTCTTCGCGTATGCTTTCTCCATTCCCCTACTGAAAGATAAGCTGCGGTTCGATAAGGTGTTTTCGGTTGTCGTTGCCATTGTAGGAGTTCTGGTGGTTGCGTACGGGGATCGCAGCGAAAGCAAACAGACTCCGGACGGCACAGTGGGGAAAGCAAAGCAGGAAGCAGAGAACAGACTTTTGGGCAATATCATAATCGGGGTCGGAAGCGTGCTCTACGGTCTGTACGAGGTGTTGTACAAGCGGTTCGCCTGTCCCCCGGAGGGCACAAGCGCCGGCCGGAGCATGATCTTCGCCAACACCTTCGGCAGTCTCATCGGATGCTTTACCTTGCTGGTCCTCTGGATTCCCTTGCCTATCCTCCACATGCTGGGCTGGGAAGAGTTTCGAGTGCCGACCGGCGAGGCCGCATGGATGCTTCTTATATCGGTCGTCGCCAATGCCAGTAAGTCTTGCATATTCCAAATCCAATCGGCCTCTTTTCATCAATTGCTAACCATCACCAGCCTTCTCGGGATGCTTCCTCGTCCTCATCTCCCTCACATCCCCCGTTCTCTCGTCTGTAGCCGCCCTCCTCACCATCTTCCTCGTCGCCATCGTCGACTGGCTGCGCACGGGGCAACCCCTCTCCGCCGCGTCGATCGTGGGCGGTCTCCTCATCATCATCGCCTTCTTCCTCCTGAGCTGGAGCACCTATCGTGAAATGAACGAGGAAAAGAGGAAGAGCCTCGAAGCCGAGGAAATGGAGTCTGAATGTGATGACTAGCTCCACTTGCCCCATTCTATCTACTATACCGTGGATGAGGTTTTCTAATAAGTGTACATCTCCTTGAGTGTACCGCTCTTTTGGCTATCGGGATCTTGTACATATTTACTTATATTTCCGGGTTTCATAGAGGATTGCGTTTCCTTTAGATGTCGCTGCGGATAGAGGATGCACACTGCAACGAGCAGAAAGGATAATGCAATGGCAGTTATTCTATATAATGATCAATACCCGGTGCTCAACTCGCTTGCTTACTCTATACTACGTACAAGGATCAAACGGGCAGGCAGCTGGACGTCCTGGAAACCTATATGACATGTTGGTCTTCCAGAGAAGATTCTTTCAGAGGAGTAAGAGTGGCTATATCAACACGAAGCGAGTCCGATGGGGACTTTGACAGTGACAGGGGACGGTGGGATGGGTTGGGACTGGATTGACGAAGACCAAAGCAAAGGCGACTCCAGTCGACTTGACTAGCTAGTACCGAGCTTGGCCAAGGCACGGACACCTTGCTCCTCCCATTCTTGCTTGCTGACCCACATGTCCTCCTTGTCGGCGATCTGGGATATGTTAGAGACGTCGTCAAAGTGAAGGTTATAGAGCATTGATTTCTTACCAGGTTGGCGAGCACGGCACCGCCCAGGAAGACCATGTGTCTCCGTCGGGGGGGATCTTCGATGCGCACTTTGAATTTCTGCAAGAGAGATTTAGCTTTGGTCATTCTCCCAAGGAAGCCCAGGTTAGGGACGTACACCAAGTCGCTCAGGGTCTCCCTGGAGTACCCGCGTAAGCCACAGTTGCTTGAGTTCCTTCTCCAGCCGCGACGGCAGACCGGGGTACATGCTGCTTCCACCGCTGAGGACGATGGCCTTGTACAAGCTTGAGCGGACGTCGACGTCGGCGCCTTGGATAGTGTTGAAGAGCAGCTCGGCCATGCCGGGCTGGTCGACGTCCACCAGGTGCGGTTGGAAGAGACACTCGGGGGCCTCGAAGCGTTCGCTGCCTACCCGGATGACCCGGCCGTCGGGCAGTGTGTATGATTCGACGAGAACGGTGGTATCCTCGGAGAGCTTCTTATCCAGCTCGAGGTCGTACGAGACGTAGCAGAGCTTCTCCTTGATCTGGCGCACTGTTTCGAAATCGGCCGTACGGTTGAGGGCGTAGCCGCGGCGCAGGAGCAGAGCGATCAGGTTGCGGGTGACGTCGCGGCCGGCGACGTCCAGTCGGCGGATATGATGCTTGAGGACGGTGGATTCGTAGACGGGAATAATATGTGTGACACCGTCACCGGAGTCGACGACCACACCGCTGCTGAGACCTGGTACGAACAAGGATCAGCTGTCGTTACTATCTGCTCGGCCGTTGCACTCACCCTGAGCGTATAGAGCAAGCACGGCTTGAATAGCGACGTATACGCCTCCAAAGTTGTATTGTTCCAGCATGACCTCGCACATCTTCTCGCGGTTCTTTAGGGGGTTCATTGGGGGTTCGGTGAGGAGGATCTTGCGCCCCGTGGGGTCGATTTTCATCTTCTCGTAGAAAGTGTAGTTCCATAGGTGCTGCATGTCGTCCCATTTCTTCACGATACCGTTCTCCATCTATATTATCCGCGGACGTCAACCAATGGTCTCTGAATCAACTCCCTGCTGTAAAGACGGTGACGGGAGCTCCGCCAGGAAGGCGAGCAACCGTTCGCAACAGGAACGGAGACATGGGAGGGCAGAACGTACAGGATAGCTAATCTGGAGCATTGATCTGGCAGCTGCAGCTTCATCTCCACACATGATATCCTTCACGACGATATCACCGGCCTGTTCCTCAGTTCGCAGTATGGGCCGCCCCACTATCGAGGGGAACTGGTGCTCTGGGAAGTTCTGTTGACGAAAGACGCATGAGCATGGCGCATGATTGACATTCTGTGCGTAATAGTCGACATACCTGCGCAGCATATCCGACCTTGAGGAAACCAGTTCCTCCATCGAGGACTAGGTGTGTTGGGTTAGCTACCTGGCGGACGGGGGAAGCTGCCTGGAGGGGGAATGATGCTCACCAATGGGCATATCCGCCATGGTGGTGGTTGAACAATAAGTACTTTCGTTCAGTTATTCCCTCCGTTAAAAAGCAACAGAAAATCCGGAATGAAATGCGCTGTTGGGGAGAATAGTTGTGTATGGATTGTAAGGATGAGGGGACGGCGAGGGAGTTTGGGTCTGGAGGTGTGTTAAGTCGACGGGCTTCCCCATAGTCGTCATTAGCGCGCCGAGCCGCATTCCATCGGCAACGGAACGCATCCTACTGGAGTCAGAAATGTCACTTGAGTCCTTTGCATTTCAGTTTCGAGATGGACTAGCCAGTAGACAATCCATTGAGCGTATTCAATTCAAGTACACTGGTGGAGAGTGCATTGTTGGGTGAGGGTGATGAGACCCTCCGCCATGTAAACGCCATAACAGTATCCAACAATGCAGTCGGAAATAGTCAACCTGCCCGGTAAATACTTTGTATACTCAAGGACGGCCTTCCAGAACATCTTCTAGCGATTTCAGAGGCAGGCATCCCTACAATGCAGCAGCTACAGTCTGGAAGCAGTCTATCGGCCGATGCCCTCCCGAGATCGGGACCGCCCGGTGATCCCCAGAATAAATAAATAGATATACCCTCATCCCATCGTCTCCAACTCTGCGCAACAACCCCATTCACAAGTCACAACCCAAAATCAAGATGAG